GTAAAATGAAGAATTAGTCAATAAAATGAACTTTATTCGAAAACACTTGTAAGCTACAGTTTTTTACTCTACATTTGTAAAATTATATGAAAAAATTCAAATGTGCACATATCTACACATACCTACACATAACTACACATATCTACACATAACTACACATATCTACGCATACCTACACATAACCACATATCTACACATATCTACACATGTCTACACATACATGGATCAATACTACCAATGGAATATTGTCTAACATGGAACTATTGTTACTGAGAAGTATACATATTTATATTTTTATAAAAATGTTTTGACTAATACAGTACTATAAAATACCCTGTTTGGTTACATATGGAATAGTTTTCAATTTTTAAATAACTGTCAAAACTAAGGACCATGGTTATAACATTTTTAACATTCCGTATCTTCTTGAAATCTATTGTTTGTCTAAAGGAAACTACATACTCTAGTGAGATGGAGCCCTAAAACAAGGAAAGAAGGATTTTCAGAATCCAAGAGATGACGAGAATGTGTGAGGAGTCTCAGGCAGATGTGACATGCTTTATTAACTAGTACACAGATCACCATGGAGACATGGGCAGATACACACAGACTAAGGTACACACTAGGAAAAGGCAAACACCACACAAAGACACTCACCTCTGACTCCATGGTGTATTTGTACAAAACTGACACAAATTATGGCATAGTGCAGGAAATGGTTACATAAACGAGCACAGCACCACTTACTAGCAGTCTCCTGGATACCCAGTGTCTACCATCTTTCTGGACCACTTTGGATACCCTCATCAGTCATGTTGTATAAACCTTAAATGCCCCTTATGACCTTCTATACCCTTCAGTTATAAAAATGTTTCTTTTTTACCATGACAAAGTTGGTTAACTTTTGCTGGCAAAACCTTTCCCCAAAGCACAAGCTCTTTATGGAATAAAACTTTACTTCAAATTTGATTATATGAACAATATCAAATAGTATGTGAGTGGGAAAGGTATCAGGAAAAGTAAAATCATTTTTATAATCAAATGAAGGACTGTAATGCATTCCTTGGTGAAATTACTAAGCAGTCAACACCAGTAAAGATTCTATTCCAAAACAAAACAAACAAAACAAAAAAAACATGTTAGCATTATACCAAATGCAAAAACCATCATACACAATTTTGATGGTATTTATTTTGCAAAATTATTTTTTAAATCAAGTAAAAAGGTACAAAATAAACTCAAAATAGTTACAATACATAATAAAAGCTTAAGGTTCTTTACATGTATGGAAGTCTAAAAATATTAATAGCATAAAAGTAATAACTGTGTTCAGCAAGAGAAAAGTACAAATATCAAACATAACATCACTCATCGTCTCATAGGTGATCAGACACTTGGGAAAGCAGCTGTACAGTAGTACAAGGAAGAAAAGAAATGCAGCTGTTGTTGGCTATAATACCAACAGAAAGGCTTCATGGAAACAGTTAATCTACTGACCTGTTTTTGTCTAAGAGTTTATTAATGTGCATTTTCTCCTCAGCTACCTAAGTCTAAGAATTTAAGGAAAAATTAGAGATACAGATTAGGGTGGGGTACTTATACATGTTATCAGTTGTTTTAAGTATGACACCCCAATTCTTGAACAATTGCATCACCAAGAGGAGGTGTCTACTTGCTCATTTTGAATATGGACAGATTTTTAGTTGTTTTGGTCAATACAAGTCTGCTAAAATGATGGCACCCTATGCCTGGGTTACATAATATGATTCCTTCTCTGTTTTATTCACTAGGATATATTATTTAGTGCCCTGACATTCATCTACTCTGCTGTTAGGAAGTCAACCCTTCCATAGTGCTTCTGTGGAACCTACCTCTCATCAAGTCTTCTCCCTTAGGTACCCAACAGGAACCTGAAGAATCTGCACCTGAGCCACACCCTCAAGTCCCAACTGAACTCTCAAATACACAGAACACATCCTTGCTGTGTCATAACCACATCCCTACTTTGTGAGACTCAATTGCCAAGCCTCTCCAAGGAGAGCAAGCCTGCAAAAGCAGTATACTATTTTGCCTCCATTATTGAGAACAATGCTTTGCCTATATTACATTCTCAAATGACAAGGATATAACTCAGCTGATACAACTAGGTAGACAATTTGTTACATTTACAAACACTTGTGAATTATTGGTGTTTGAGGGATCACTATTAACTTATTTTAGAACATAAATTGTTCCTTTGTTTTCAAACAATAATATAGTAGCTTGTTAAGAATATAAAACAGAGTTTTATAAAAAAGAAATGGTCTCTTTTAAATGAAGTTTAAAACTGCTATATGTGGTGCTCTGAAATACATAATAAAAGCTTTCTCAAAAAATGTATTAGTGTAAGCTCAATATTTAAGAGGCCTCTTTAATACATCTCTAGCATATCCAGCAACTTACCTGCTTGTTGTGCAGAGCTCTTTGGAAAAGTCGAAGAAATGAAGCCAAACTGAAACGGTACATGTTATTAATCTTGGACAAGTCAGAGATGATGAAGTACATCTTGCTGGCATTCTCAGCCAAAGGCAGATAGGCGTCCCGCTCCTATAGATCATTAATGGAGACAGAAGAGTGATCATCTTATACCAGTGCTTTAGTGCCACCTGGAGACTGCACACATACCTAGCCACAGACTCTCTGTACTTATACACAACAAATGAAGATGAAGAATTTCTATAACTTAAGGTAATAGCATCTTTATACAAAGCTGAGGGCAAAATGTCTTCAGTCACTCAAGGTGCTATACAGAATGGATTCTGGAGGCAGGAAGTCCAAGGCTAACACACCAGCAGATCTGGTGTCTAGTAAAGGCCCATTTCCTTTTTTTTTCCAGAGTAGAAAGCAAGCAAGTCCCCTTTGCCCTCTTTCATAAGGCACAGTAACTCTCCTCCTGACCTAGGAGACCTTCACTTCACAAAGGTGCCACCTCTTAATCCTACCTCATCAGAGATTAGGTATCTGCATATAAATTTAGGAGTGAATCTTAAACATTCACATTATAGCAAGATATTTGAAATATTTTTCTAACTCTCACATGGTAGAATCACAAGTGGTTCATGGATTGATTGGTCTTAGTCAAAACCAAAAGTATTTGGAGCAAGAAGAAAGAATAGAATAGTCAGCAAGTATGGCCAGGTACTGCAAGGGCAAGATACGCCATCCCACAAGGACACTTCAAACAAGGAGAAGGGCAGAGGCAGGGAACGTGACTGTTAGAGGTGTGCACTTCAGAACACCTGTACTTATTAGAACAGGGGCTACCATTCTGACAGAAGACAACATGGGAGAATCATAGGTTAAATGGCTGCAAGGTTCTGAACGCATGTGGGTTCTTGTGTCTTTATCATCACAGCGCTACAACTACAAATATAACTCAGGTGGCTCCTACCTACAGCCCATCAACGCAGCACTATGTGAGAAGGCACAATGTCACAATGCTGTGGGAAACCCTGCGGCCAACATCATCAAACTTAGCTTGGCAATGGTAGGTGGGGTGACTGGACTAGAATCAGGCTTTGAGTTTTCATCTTATTCTGGTTTCAACAGAGCTCTCTCCCAAGCATACAAAGTAGTAAGTAGTAATAGGTAAGTGTAAAATGTGAACAGGAGTAGTAAAGGAGAAATGGAAAAGTCATCAAGGGGAACAGAAATAACTCAAGAATGTCAGCAAGCTAAAGGTCAGGCTGCTGCCCAGAAATCCACAGCGATTTTAACTCTGATTGTCTTGAGTTTGCTGCAAAGCTCAGTCACACAGTGCAGGAGAGAAAATGATACACACATTACACTGATGTGGGGTTGGAACTTCACTAAAGGAATCATCAAAGCATAAGAAGGATTCCACCCACAGAAACAGCTGACCTGAACATCAGGGAGCTCTTGCTCCCCAGACTGACAGCTGGGATACCAGCATGGGACTGATCCAGACCCCAGGAACATGGGTTTCAGTGAGGAAACCTCGGAAACCTCCGGGACCTCCTATAGTAGTTCAGTATTTATCCCTAGCATAGGTGTGGACTTTGGGAGCCCATTCCACATAGAGGAATACTCCTTGAGCCAAGACACACGGGGGTGGGCCTAGGCCCTATTCTAAAGGATATGATAGACTCTGATGACACCCTATGGAAGGCCTCACCATCCAGGGAGGGCAGATAGGATATGTGATAGGTAGGGTTTTAGTTGGGGAGAATGGTAGGGGAGGACGGGAGGGAGAAGGGAACTGGGATTGTCATGTAAAACAATCTTGTTTCTATTTATAATTCAAATAAAAAAATCTGCCAAAAAAAAAAAAAAAGGATTCCAAGCCATTTGTAAAATACTGGTTCATATCCTCACATTGACTGTGTTTACTCTCAACAGTGAAGAAAAATGTTTTAGAAGAAATAGTGTATAACCCAATTAGTATATTTAACTTGTCTTAAGAAAAGTTCTGTGGGGAATAGTGACCCATCCTTCTCATCCTAGCCCTAGCACTCAGGAGGCTGAAGGGAAGATCACTCAAAGACACGACTTGTGATGGCTATGTAGTCAATTTGACTATATCTGGAATGAACTACAATCCAGAAATGGAGGGCACACCTGTGAGAGATTTTCTGCCTGGATTAAGTGGGTGAATCCACTTCTAGATCAGACCTTCAAAGCAGGAAAACACACAACTTTGATCTGAATCTTAAGGCTGGAAGACACACACCTTTAACCCAAATCTTGAGGTTTGAAGGTAAACCTTTAATATGGACCATAGTATCTGCTGGAAGTCTATATAAGGACATAAAAGAAGGAGGCTTTTGTTCTTTGCCTGCTTGTCCTCACCTTGCTATCACTTCCATTCCTTCATGGCATTGAAGACTACCACTTTGGGATTCCAGCATATACAGAAGACCAGTAGAGACACCCCACCCTTGTAGGACTGAGCAACTACTAGATTGCTGACTTTCTGTTCACAACTAGCCATCATTGGATTATATATGCCTGTACATGTTCTACCAAATTAACACAAATACTTAAGATTTAAGTCATTCCAATAAATCCTATCCCATATATGGAGAGAAGAGGGGGAGAGGGAGAGAGAGAGAGAGAGAGAGAGGAGAAAGAGAGAGAGAGAGAGAGAGAAGAGAGAGAGAGAGAGAGAGAGAGAAATACAGACTATAGTCTAAGACTATATATGAAAGGAAGGAAGGGATGGAGGGATGGAGGGATGGAGGAAGGAACCAAGACAGACAGACATCTAAGAATGGCGCCACAGTTTAGATGTCTAGATTTACAATCTTCCCTGAGAGTTAACAGCTCACCCATTGTGCCCATTGAGCCCATTGTGTTGTCAGATAGTAAAGGAAAGTTTAAGAGGTGGCATTGGGAGAGGTCTCGATTTATTGAATGGAGTCTTCAAAGAAGACTGACTGTCAAACCCTAGTTCCCCCATCTCTCCCTTTCTTCTCCCAGTCTCTCTCACACATACAGACAAGAGGTGGAGAGCTTTACCAAATCTTTCTATCATGGCTGCTGCCTTGCCACAGCTCCCAAAGCACTGAGTAACTGACCTTAAGCTCCAACACCCCAAACTAAGAGCCCAAATGAACCTTTTAGTACAAGTTGATTTCTCACACACGTTCACTAAATTAACAGACTGCTGACTGACACAAATGGCAAAGATGTTCTCTCACACTCCTTTTCAAAACATTCTCTTTCAACTTCATCTTAAAGTACATCTCTATTGTAAGTAACAAGGTGGAAAATAATATAGAAGCCAACTGGGGAGACAGAGCAGCTGGCTTTACTACTGTGAGTGACATCTTAACTACATCCCTAAAGCAGGAATCACACGCCAGGCTCTGCTACTTTTCAATGACTTTCATTTTCCATAAAACATTCCCCTGAAGATCTGTTTATGTTCTACCAAATTAACACAAGTATTTAAGAAAAGCTATCATAAAATCACTGCAAAGGAAATGATTACTTGATCAAGGGAAATCTGGAGTTTGTAAGATTCTTTTAGTGAGTCTTGAATAAGAGCACTGCTTGCTTTTGTCTGATTCAGAGATTCAATCAAATCCTTATTTTCCAAAATATTGCCTTGAGATGTAGCAAGTGTCTGCAGAAGAAATTAACAATAAAAGTTATTATAAGATTAAGAAATAATTAAATGAAGCATAATATTAATGATCCATGCAGTAAACATACACTAAAAAGAATTCTGACATTACTTAGCCTTCCTATATCAATAACTGCATGTTTTATATTTATTAATACACTAACCAAAAGTAGATAGTTACATATTCAGTCATAATTTCATGCTAATTTTAATGCCTTTTGAAATCCCATGTATATAATAAATAATGAAACAATACAATAAAAAGAAATTATTAATTTAGAACAATTCATCTTAATTATAACTCCTTCAGATCTTTATTAGAGTTGTGACTTTGGAAAAGTCACAAGCATTTTGAAGATAAATCTAATGCATTATAGACACTCATGGCTTATACGTGATAAAGAAGGTAGTGTATGAAAACCATTCTGAAAGCTCGTCACCTCTAACAGAGACTCCTCAAGTCTGGCTAGCTGTATTTTTTTATCTTCTTCCTGCTGCAACAGCTTTGTTTTCTGTTCTTCTAGATCAGGTTTTTCATGCTGAATGGTTAAAGCTAAAAGCTTAAAAAAGAAAACAAGAGAAGTAATTCCAGCAATGAGCTTTAAAACAGCATAAACTTCTGACCAGGCCTTGGAAATGAGCAAATACCAAAAGTACTGTGATAAATGTGACATTTGATTCTTTCAAATCAAGTACAAGACACTTCCACATCTGTACCTGACAAGAAGCAGAAGACGGATGGCAAAAGCAATCACTGCAATGTCAAATGTGTAAAAATCACACTATTTGCTAAGTATGAAAAATTTCTAAAGTTAGATTAAAATATAAAAACTATAGGACTAGTATTAGCTACTGATAAACATTTACTTAAGATATAAGACATATTAAAATATTACATTATTGAGGCCATTGAGATGGCTTATTGGGTGAAGGCACCTGCCACCAAGTCTAATGACTTGAGTCTGATCCTCAGAATTTATATGGTAAAACGACTTCACCTAGCATATACATCTTGGACCATGCACAGCCATATACATATATACACATACATACACACACAAGTAAATAGAATTCAAAAATTAAATATTAAATTATCAAAACAACATTGAAATAACATTTCATAAACAGTAAGATTATTACAATTAAAAAGACAGCAAAACACATTTTACCCCAAAAAATGCCATAGTAATATCAAATACTTTGTATGCGAATTAAAAATAAACCAATTTTTAAAACAATTCAATGAAAATAAAAATACTACCAACTCTTTTTAAAGAGAACCTTCCTATCCTGTTGCTAGGGAAGTAGAAGAGTACAGGCATGTTGGAAAAGTTTTCAATAGCAACTGTCTGTAACTTGTACTCTTGTCACAGGAAGACGGGCATGGCTCACAAGAAGACAGGTACGGCTCTCTGCACCGTTACTGAGGTGAGCTGTCACTGGAAGACCAGCACTGCTCTCTGCACTGTTACTAAGGTGAGCTTTCAGGCCACAGGAGCATTTTGTCAATAAATTATGAGTGACTGTTCCAGCACTGACATGGAAGCAATACAAAGCAAAGGAGGTAACTCATAAACAAATATGGGGCCTTATGGCATAAGAAAAGAATATTTTAGAGTAGCAGCTTTTAAATTTCAATAAAATAAAATTACACAGATGCACATGCTATCAAAAGAAGATAAAAACTGTTAAATGAGTAGAAAAAGTGATAGTTCTCAAAAATCAACACACACTTCCTTTCAGAGGAAAAGCTAAGAATATATTTTTAAAAAGTAATAAATAAATAAAGTAGATAAACTTTAAAAATCATTTTTAATCTCAAACATTCATCAAACTGTAACAAGCCAGATACAGATAAATGAGCTCAAAGACACACTTGTCAATGTGAATTTGAAAGAGGGTTTTCAGGGAAAAAGAAAAGAGGGAAATGATACCATCACAATCTCAAAAATGAACTAAAAAATCTTTTTCAGAAAAATACTGGCTCAGGAATCAGACCCCACTGCCTACATGAATACATTAAATAATTGCAGTCTTCAGCTTTCTTAATTGGAATTTTATTTATTTACTTTGGGGGGTTCAAGACAGGGTATCTCTGTGTAGCTCTGGCTGTCCTGGAACTCTCTCTAGACCAGGCTGGCCTCAAACTCACAGAGATCTGCCTGCCTCTGCCTCCCAAGTGCTGGGATTGAAGTCATGTGCCACCACTGCCAGGCCCTTAATCTGAATTATAAAAACTGAGGTTATCCCTATGAACTATGTACTTCACAATTTTTACCAAATGTTTCAGAAACAGAGTATTGATGGGGAATGTACTGTGTATATTTATCTTATTGATTGTTAAATAAAATACTGTTTGGCCAATGAGACAGCAAGTTAGACGGGACTAGGAGTCAGAGAGGATTCTGGGAAATGGAGTGCAGAAGAGGGGATCCAGGCAGGAAGTGACATAGCAAGGAGACTCATATTTAAAGAAGGAGAAACAGGAAGTGGCCCTCTTTTCCCCTCCACTCCTGCTCCAGTAGCACAATGTGATCCACCGGCAAGGAGGGACGCCAATAAGGTGTCTGATAAGATAAGTCTTATAAAATATATAGATTTATGATAATGGAGACTGAGCTAACAGATGAGAATCCTAGTCATTGGCCAAGCAGCTTTGAATCTAATACAAGTTTCTGTGTATTCATTTGGGTCTAACTAGGGCGGGCAGCTGGCGTAAAGCTCACATGTGGTGGTGGGGCTCAGGCAGCTTTTGGCGGAAAGATTTATCGTAACAGAGTATAAAATGAATTATATTAGAGGAACAGCAATATGAAGTTAGCATCAAAAGCACAAATCTAATAAGGGATCTGAATGCTTTGCTTCCAAGTGTATTTTCAAAACCCAAATTCAATCCTAACTATCTTAACAAATTCACCGATAGCAAACACAGCTCTGTGAGTATGTAGCAGCATGTCCTGCCCACATACCTGCCCTCGAAGTCCACTTCTGGTTGTGGTAAAGTTCACCTCAGTCACGATGGATGCAGCATCCGGGGGGATGAAGGGATTTGGATTTCTTGTTGACAAGAAAAGGCGGAAATCTTCATTATAGTCAATGATTTTGTCACCTATTTGTACCACATACCGAGGTCCTATAAAAAACACACATATACACACATAATTAATTGGCTTGAATCTTCTGTATATTCTATGAATCTTCTATGTAAGTTTTTAAAAACTGTTTTCAAGATTTCTATATGAGACTAACTAACAAATACACTACTATCATCCAAAAGTCACATTTTACTGAAACCAGACTTTGAGTTTAAACACTTTAACCATACAAACACACAACACATGCTCTTTCCTTGGGGGATTTCACTATCCCCTTGAGTTCCTCATCATCAAAACAGCCTCTTGGCAGTCTCTGACTCAGAGATAACAAGGGGTTTCTAAGGTAATGTGAAAGACATCAAAATTGGACTGCTCAAGAAACTGCTAAATGCTCAATTAGCTTTTACATAGGTCAAATAACATTAAAACGATCCTAGGACATAGAAGTACCAATGGGATACCTACTTATTATAATGGGTATGTTTTTGATATTAACTGTATGTCTCATATTCCAACTTTTTCCTGAAATAGTTGTTTACAGATATCAAAAGTAGATACTTTTAATCATGCATTATTCTCAATTTCTAAATTATTTAGCTAAAAGGTACTTATTGTACTACATCTTAGATATAAAATAAAAATCTAGGAATATAAAAATGAGTAGTTACAAATATATCCATTGTCTACAAAATGAAAAGATGACATGGAGACTGGGGAAACATATTTGCAAACTATTTTAAAGACAACATTCAAAATTTATAAAGACGTATAAATAAATAGCACAAAAGTAAATAGCCAAGTTAAAAATGGAATAGGACCTTAATAACATTTCTCCAAAGATAAGATTAAAATGGCCAATGGGAAATGAAGTACACAAGCATTACTGATCATTAGGTAAACGGAAATGCAAAGTTACTGCATTGTGTCACCTCTGCCAACATGTTACTATACAAAAGACAAGGCCAAAAAGAACCAGCTACTGAATGAAGATGGGTGACCTGGTACAGAAAGAAATTAAAACTAGAACTCTACAATGCCCAGGAATCCCTCCCCTAGATATATACCCACAAACAAAACCACCATATTACAGTTTGACTCTGAAATGTCTAAAAATGACTCATATGTGAAAATGTTGATCATCAGTTTCTGGGCCTTAGGGAAGTGATAGTTCAAAAGTTGTGAAGTAATCAGTGGGTTTATCCACGAGTGGGTTCCTGACTTGGAAGCTGTGGTGGAAGGGAGGAACTAGTAGGTGAAAACTACTTAGAGGAACTAGGTCACTGGGGACATACATGCTCTGAAGGACATCTCTTTTATTAGGGTATTGCATAATGAAAATACCGTCTATAAACATAATGGATTACTATGTGGTCATAATGAAGGAATAGTGCTATTTGGCATTATATAAACGAGGCTAGATGGCATTAAAAAAAGAATATGAGCCAGAGAAAACATGATAATTATTGTGCAAACTCGCCTATGGTGAGACATAACTAAAAGCACACAGAGCAGTAGATACACAAGACGAGTAAGTTTAGAAAGCCAGTGTAGAACATGAGGTTATAATGAATACAACTGTATTGCATGTGGAATTCTGAAGTCACTTAGCTGTTCTTGTCACATGAGAAAGATTAACTGTATAAAAGGATAGAGATGATAACTTGTCCTTTTACCATCTATACCTTTAAAATATCATGCTAATAAACATTTAAACATTCACAATAAAATTTTCTTTAAAACTGTACATAACTTAAAAAGAACAGAGAAGTAGAAGCCAAGTACACAGTAGTGTAATAGTTGACCTTCACTGTCAATTAGATTGAGAGACTTCCTAGAAAAACAATAAAGCAAACCTAGGTGACCCTAGAATATTTTCAGAGATCATGAGGGCACCAATGGGATCAATGATTTAGTTTATACTAACTGTGAATACACCACTATAAGGTGGGAAAACTAAAAAGTGAGATCATTGTAAAGGAAATGGGTCATGCAACTGTGCCACTGTGGAATCCTAGTTACTACTCCCTGCTTCCTGACCACATCACTGTTACTACTCTGCTCAAGCCCCCACCTTCGAGGATACAGTATCTCACCATAAACCCAGGAACAATTCTGCCATCCAAGATACACTGAAGCCTGTAAAACCATGAGTCAAAATAAATCTTACATTCCTTACACTGATTTTTACAGATATGTGTCACAGCAATGGGAATACTGACTTAAGACAACTAGTTCCATAAAACTATAGAACAGCACTGTAGCATCAGACTGTCAAACTTGACAGACTTCTAGATTTATAGAACATTTTGTAATGACAAAGATTCAAAATACTTAAACAAAAATGACAACCAAATTTAAAAGAGACAAGTTTAAAATTGTCTTTCAAGTATTTTACTTGGTAGGTCTGAGCAAATTAATGTTTCTAAAGGGATAAAGAATAACATCACATTCTTTATTCAATATGATATAATTGATCTTCAAAGAAAACTAAACCAACAAAGAGCCAAATTTGCACAAATTTCAAGGAGAAGTGGAACACTTGCGAAAATTAACCTAATGCCACGCATACAGAATTTTATTTGGCAAGGCAAAACCCAAAAATGATTCCAAAGGCAAAGAGATGATTCAATCTAAATCTGGAATGATGAGCCAAGAGTTTACCAGTAACTTCAGGAATATGGGAAATTCAAAGGCACCCACAACGTGGGAAATCCTCTGAAAAAGTAGAGGCAACTAAGCAACTGGAAATCCCAGGGCTGACTGTCAGTTATGCCCAGAGAAGTCACATGCTTATCTCATACAGTATCAAGGCATGGAAGCACCTCATGAGTATTTCCTAAAAGTCGTATGAGGCATCCATGAAGAAGTGCAGACATCTTCAGAATGGCCTGCTTACCAAAGCAGTCTATGAGCAACATCTGGGACCAAGGGCTTTAGGGAAATTCTCACAGTTCTTGGTAGCTGTGCTCAAACCATTTGCACATGTCATGGGTGTGCTAAACACCTGCTTCCTTTTTTATTATGAGCAGGAAGTGCATGTTTACATAGTTTCTCTAGGTGAAAACTTCAGAGTCTCGAATGAGGTCCCCCAGGACAATGATTAGATGCAGTGTCACAACTTGCAAGGACAACAGATGATCACAGTGTGTACTCTGCCCAAAACTCCCCTCTGTGTTGCTGGGGCAATTGAGCATGTCTTAAGTCACTACAGTAGAAGATACTACAAGCTTGTGCTTGGCTTTAAAAACTGGTACTCAAGACACTCAAACATTTACCTTGAGCAACAAGATCTCTTCTCAGCAGTGGATAAAGAACAGGCTCCACCCCATCCACCTCTTGTATAATGAGGGTTTTCCCAAAACGCACTGCCAACTCAAGAGCTGTGATAAAGTTGCTGTCCTGTGGTAACAAAGAAAGTGCTTACAAAGGTCCATATAAACAATGAGTGACAATACTAACAGAAACTATTTGAAGATTTAAAGTCTATTATCTATAGCACTAATTGAAATTATTCATGGTTGTTTTCCAGTTACAAAATATTTCGTAATAAATCATTTTAGTTGAATAAATTACCTTGAAATCAGTACCTTAAATTCATAATTTAAGCAGACACATAAGACAAATAAGGCTTAAAAAATTATTGTGACAAAAAACGCAAATAACAGCAGCTCTTCCTTCCCTATCAAATCCTAAGTGTCTAGTATAGTACTGTTAATTATAAAAATAATTTGGAGAGAAGATCTCTAGAGCATTCTCATCCTGCACACCTGCAAGCAACTTTGTACCAAATAAACAGCAAGTCCTCAAGTCTGCCATGATATAAAAGCTTCCTGTCAAGTTTCTACTCTACTTACAAGTTGCTACAAAAATAAAATTCCAACCTCTATCTGCAATAAATGGCCAAAGAGTCAAAAGAACACTTCACTGTGCTCCAAGTTTTAAAAAAATCAATGGCACTTATATTAGTTTTGGGGTGTTAAAATAACTGGCCATAATTTGGAATTCTTGTATATTACTGTATTCAATTTACGAATATTAGTGATTTTTTCCATATTCTGGGGTATTTGAACATGATTTTCTTTAGCTAAAATATCTTTGTTAAGTTATGACATAACTACTTTTCATGAAGTAACATATGTAATGATGTTTGATTTTTTTAATTCATGGAGTGTATTTTTTTCTTTGTTTTTATTTCAGTATAGAATTAATAATAAAGCCATCCAGATTAACAAAAAGAAAGAGAATTCCTATAAATTTGTCTTTATAAAAAAGATTAATATTGTGAAATGAATATTGGGTAAGATTTTAAATTTTGTAATCAATCAAGAATTTTATGCTTTTTGTGTAGCAAAAGGAGTTTCAAACATTATTCCAGGACTCCAAGTGGGAGGAAAACAAATACAATATTTCATTAGTGAAAACAGAGTAGAATGATAGAATGACACAATGCCCACTATTCAGTCAACAGCAGACCATCTGTACAACAGTGATCCCACAATTTTCTCCACTGACTGGTGATAAACACCATGGGCGTCACAGCATATAAGCACAGGGCTTGAACTGCAGTGGTTCTGGAGTAAGCCAATCTAGGTAACTGATAGCTGCCTGAGGTACAGCACACTGATGGTCTGCAGTCCTGATGCTTGAGTGTACACCTGACTTATAGATACACAATGCTATATTCTATCAACATTTATACAACGTATTCCTTCTACTTATTTAAAAACAAAGCTAACTGCAAAAGGGCATGCCTGGAAGTGTCCTGGACTGTCAGACTCAGACATGTACTGCCTCACCTGTGCATGCTGCTGTACACACCCTGCCTTTATATATTTATTCATTTTTATCATTTATGTTTATTCTCTACCCATTCCTTGTCTAGGTGAATTAAATAACACCATGCACTGCTACTATCCTGGTATAGTATTCAGTAAAATACCAGTTGCACAGGCCTATGGTCTGGAAGCCAAGGTTGTACTATGCAGCCAGGTATATGGTAGGCCACATTGTCAGATGCAGGGATATATTTGATGATCATACTGGAGACCTACCCAAGAATTCATTTCTCAAGACATATCCCGACTGATACATAACAAATAGCTATATGTTATACATTTACCTAATTTCAGTTCTTATTACCACATACAAATAAGATAGAAACCACTATAAGAAGAATAAAGTTTAGAGGTAATTTTTCAAATACCTTGAGAATATCTATAAAAACTAATCAAACATTTATCATTACAAACTTGATTAAGACAACAATAATTTCCTTAGTAAGGCAAATTGGGCAGCCAGGGGGTCACTGCCAAATCATGGCAACTACAGCTTCCTGGGCAAGCATCCTCTCTTAGGGCATGTTAGAACTTCTAATGAGCATAGGACAGGAGACAAGAGACACGTAAGATCAGAAGGCTGTTTTCCTCTCCACACTAAGCAATTCCATAACATCCTGCATTTGTCATTAGTCACGGCATAGTGTAGAGGTGTGTCCTTAACCTCCTCTAGTGAAGAGGAAGAGCCTACTCACTGTTAAAAGTCCCAGGGTTCAGAAGGGCTGCTAGCATAAAAAACAATGTGTTTTCCTCTGTGCTAGAGCTGACAGACTTGCAACCAGGAGGACCACCCTTCTTCCCCCAGATCTCCGTGAGGAACACTGTGGGTAGCTCATTCTGCATGTGTTTTCTCACTGTAGACCCTGAGCGGTACTCACTGTTGGTTTACCTGCAGTCAGGACCTAAATTATAAGCAGTGCATACCTGCTGGTTAATAACTTCCAAGCGTGAGTCTTTCAGATGTGTCTTTAACCACTCTGTTGCCTGGGAAGATGGATCTATCAGAAATGGGCACACACGGCTCTAGTGGGGAAATAAAAAATCTTTTAAATAATGGTGAATTTTTATTTAAACAGAAATAAATTCCTAAAAATTGTAAAATTTTTCTGTGTCTTTGTAGAAGGCAACTCTATCAAGAACAAGATGGAAAAGATGTGTGCTTGTATCTTCCCGCAAAGCCACTTAGATATATTACTAGGAACAAGTGGTAAAGAATTAAATCTAACTGCAATTAAGTCACATCTGCAAATTCCCTTAAAGGGAAACTCAACAAACTGCCCATTAGTGTCTAAATAACTAGGAACTCATTTATGCAGAGTGTCTTACACTGGTAAACTCTACAGCACTGAGCAGGTGAAAGGATGCAACATACAAACATAAAATGCAGATTACCTACACAATATTTTTATTTGTCTATTTACTTATTTTTATTTATGTGCATTGGTGTTTTGCCTCATGTATGCCTGGGTGAGGGTGTCAGGTCCCCTGGAACTGAAGTTACAGACAGTTGTGAGCTGCCATGTGGGTGCTGGGACTTGAACCCAGGTCCTCTGGAAGAGCAGCCAGTGCTTAGCCACTGAGCCATCTCTCCAACCCATGTATTTATTTTTAAAATCATCATTATCTAGTAAACATATTTAAACAATGAGCCAGTTTTTCTTACATTTTTCTCACTTGAAGAACACAACTGATATAGTGGTAAGAGAACATACAGGGCAGCAGGTGACACACACTCAGAATTGTAGTAGTAAGAGAGCACACAGGACAGTGGGTGACATGCACTTAGAGTTGCAGTGGTAAGAGAGCACACAGGACAGCGGGTGACACGCACTCAGAGTTGCAGTGTTAAGAGAGCACACAGGACAGTGGGTGACACGCACTCAGAGCTGCAGTATTAAGAGAGCACACAGGACAGCGGGTGACAGGCACTCAGAGCTGCAGTGGTAAGAGAGCACACAGGACAGCGGGTGACACGCACTCAGAGTTGCAGTGGTAAGAGAGCACACAGGACAGCGGGTGACACGCACTCAGAGTTGCAGTGGTAAGAGAGCACACAGGACAGCGGGTGACACGCACTCAGAGTTGCAGTGGTAAGAGAGCACACAGGACAGCGGGTGACACGCACTCAGAGTTGCAGTGGTAAGAGAGCACACAGGACAGCGGGTGACACGCACTCAGAGTTGCAGTGGTAAGAGAGCACACAGGACAGCGGGTGACATGCACTGAGAACTGGACTGGGTCTAGCAAGAACATATCTGTAACTTCAGTGGCTTGTCAGGAGAAGGGGATGGCAGGAACTAACATCTCCCCAAACAGTTTCTATCCCCAACACTGATCAGGTTGTGGAGACAATAAACATATGCTGGAGTTTCCAACAGCTGTATTGTGGCTCTCAGTTCTCCACAGACAAGGAACTCCTCCCACCATACTCCTCACACAATCCAGGCATCTGTGCCTAGAGGCCTCTCTTACTGCTCCACTGTATGAATGCACAAGCCCTGGCAAGATGAGTTAACTAGCAAATGGCCTCTTCAATGTTAATATCGGATTAGATTAGATTTAATTTAAGCTAACATCCAGTGGTAAATGTTTCACAGTTCTAGTAGATTTTGTCACACCTTCAACATCATTACTTTTAAAATTGAAAGAGTTCTTACCCATGATTTCAAACCAATGATCTGATGCAGTCAGAAAAAAAAAAAAAAAAAAAAAAAAAAAAAAAGG